TTGAAACTTATCCAAGACGTTGTAACACGCCGGAATTGTTCATATATGATGATTCAACGAATTTTAGTAACAAAAGATGCAATTTCAGCTGTTTTGATGGCAAATAGAAGAGCACCTGAACCCTTTACCGAAGAAGAAATCATAACACTAACGCACGTCGAAAAATTACTTTCGCTTTTTCACACCTTAACGGTAAGATGCCTTTATATATAAGGATATAATTTTAGAAATTGTTTCATTAAGTTATATTAATTTTTTTTCTTTCTTTTTATATTTTTTTTCTACTGGATTAACAGTTTGTTATTCTTTTCGATTAATTTATTATTCAATAACGGGAGAATTAAACTGTGGTTCTTTGAATATATTAAGAGATGAGGGTTGAATTATACTTCGTCGAATAAGAGGTTTATTAATTATAAGAATTATTGGGGGGAGAATTCTTAGATGGTTAATTTTTCCTACTCCCTATATAATTTGTTTACCTATATATATAAAATTATTAACTTTATTTGTTTGTATTATTGGGGGATTAATGGGTTATTTAATTTCTCATGTTTCTTTATTTCATTTAAATAAATCATTTAATAATTATTTAGTTAGTTATTTTTTTGGTTCCATATGATTTATGCCTTACATTTGTACTTATGGAATTATTAATTTTCCATTAAATTTAGGGGGATTAGTTTATAAGTCATTTGATCAGGGTTGGTCAGAATTTTTAGGTGGTCAAAATTTATATAATAGATTAATTAAATTTTCTAATTGAAATTTTTTTTTTCATAATAACAACTTAAAAATTTATTTGTTATTATTTGTTTTATGAATTACTTTTTTATTTAGATTTTTTTTATTATTTTATTCAAGTAGCTTAAATTTAGAGCATAACATTGAAGAAGTTAGGGTAATTGAATAATTCTTGAATGTAGTGAATTAATATTTGTAATTTATAAAAAAAGAATATTTTAATTTTACAATGAAAATGTAATGTTTTTATTAAACTATATAAACAGAAGTATAAATGGAATTTAACCATTAAAAGATAAAAGTTAGCAGCTTTTTCTTGAACATCATACTTCCTTAATTGGAGTATAAATCTCAATTCTATCATTAACAGTGATAAGCCTCTTTTTGGCTTCAATTAATAGATAGATATTAATTGAAAATAAGGGTATTAAATTACCTAAAATTAGGTCGAAACTAATTGCAATAAATCGCTTCATATTCAATTAATTAAGGTAGATTGAAATTTCAATACTTTTTGAATGCAAATCAAATGTTATAATTAACTACAACCCTAATTTGATCAATTTAATATTCCTTGATTTCATTCATGATATAACCCAATAATTAAAATAATAATAAAAATAATTGAAGTGATTGTTCATATAAAAATATTTGAAATTTTAATAATTAAAATTATTGGTAAAATTAAAGCAATTTCTACATCAAAAATTAAAAAAATAATTGTAATTAGAAAAAATCGTAAAGAAAAAGGAAGACGCGATGAAGATTTTGGATCAAATCCACACTCAAAAGGTGAACATTTTTCTCGATCTGTTAATGCTTTTTTTGACAGAATTGATGCTAATATTATTACTACTCTAGAAATAATAATTAAAATTGAAGTTATAATAGCAATTGAAAAAATTATTTATACTACTAGATTAGTAGGCCTTATGATTGGAAGTCAAATATACTTGTATACTATATAAATAATTAATTAGTTAACCTCCTCATCAATAAATTGAAATATAAAGGAATAATCAAACAATATCAACAAAATGTCAATATCATGCAGCAGCTTCAAATCCAAAATGATGAATTTTTTAAAAGTGATTATTTAAATGTCGAATTAAACATACTAATAAAAAGGTAGTTCCAATTAATACATGAATTCCATGAAAGCCTGTTGCCATAAAAAAAGTAGAGCCATAAACTGAGTCTGCAATTGTAAAAGGGGCTTCAATATATTCATATGCTTGTAAAATAGTAAGATAAACACCTAATAGTACTGTAAAAAATAATCCTTGTGTGGCTTGTGAATGATTTCCTTCTATTAAGCTATGGTGTGCTCATGTAACAGTTACTCCTGAAGCTAAAAGAATTGCTGTATTTAGTAAAGGAATTTGGAATGGATTAAAGGGTTTAATTCCTATAGGCGGTCATGATGCTCCTAGTTCAATAGCAGGTGATAAACTTCTATGAAAAAAAGCTCAAAAAAAAGATATAAAAAATAATACTTCAGATAAAATAAATAAAATTATCCCTCATCGAAGGCCTAAAGTAACAGAAATAGTATTTAATCCTTGAAATGTACCTTCACGTGATACATCTCGTCATCATTGATAAACAGTTAAGATAGTAATAATATTTCCTAATACAAATAATGAAATATCATATTGATGGAATCATTTTACTAAACCTGAAACTGAAGTTATAGCACCAATGGCTCCTGTTAAAGGTCATGGGCTATAGTCTACTAAGTGAAAGGGGTGATTAGCGTGTGTTGACATTAATTAACTTCTCTAGAGTATAATGTTCTTAATACAGCAAATACATAAGATTGAATAATTGCTACTGCTGATTCAAGAATTAATAAAGCAATTTGACAAATTAAAAGTAAAGAAATAATTATATATGAAAGTGAAGGACCCGTATTTCCTAATAATGTTAGCAGTAAATGTCCTGCAATCATATTAGCTGCTAATCGAACTGCTAAAGTTCCTGGACGAATTACATTACTAATTGTTTCAATGCAAACTATAAAAGGTATTAAAATTGCTGGAGCTCCTTGTGGCAGTAAATGAGCAAATATATGTTGAGTATTATTAATTCATCCATAAATTATAAAACATAATCATAAAGGAAGGGCTAAAGTTAAAGTTAATGTTAAATGACTTGTTCTTGTAAAAATATAAGGAAATAATCCTATGAAATTATTAAATAAAATTAATGAAAATAATGATACAAAAATAAAAGTTGATCCTGAGTGACTTGATGGCCCTAGTAATGTTTTAAATTCTTTATGAAGTGTTAATAAAATTGAATTTCAAAATACGTGGTAACGTGAGGGTATAAGCCAGTATACTGATGGAATAATTAATAATCCTAAAAATGTTCTTATTCAATTTAATGATAAATTAAAAATTCTTGAAGAAGGGTCAAATACTGAAAATAAGTTAGATATCATTTTCACTCTAATGATTTAGTTGATTTTTGTGAAATCAGAGATTTAGGGGATTTAGGAATTATTGAATAATAATTTATTATTCTAAATAAAATAAAAGTAATTGAAAAAATAATAAATAAACTTAATCAACCGAGAGGGGCTATTTGTGGAATCAAAAAATATTAAATATTTTAATAATTTTAGTTTGACATACTAATGTTAAATTTTAAATAATTTTTTTTTCATTAGAAGTAAGTGCTAATTTACTATTAAGTGGTTTAAAAGACCAATACTTGCTTTCAGTCATCTAATGATGAATTTGCTGTATTTGTAATTCATTTAATAAAATGATTAATAGGGATACTTTCAATTACAATTGGTATAAAACTGTGATTAGCACCACAAATTTCAGAACATTGTCCATAAAATAAACCTGGTCGATTTATTAAAAAATTAGTTTGATTTAGACGACCAGGAGTTCCATCAACTTTTACACCTAAAGAAGGAACTGTTCAAGAATGAATTACATCTGCTGCAGTTACTAAGATTCGAATTTGGGAATTTATAGGTAAAATTACTCGGTTATCTACATCTAATAATCGAAATCCATCTGTAGTTAATTCATTTGTTGGAATTATATAAGAATCAAATTCTACATTTATAAAATCTGAGTATTCATAACTTCAATATCATTGATGTCCAATAGTTTTTAAAGTTACTGAAGGTTCATTAATTTCATCTAATAAATATAATAATCGTAAAGAGGGAAATGCAATAAATAAAAGTACAATAGCTGGTAAAATTGTTCAAATTATTTCAATAGTTTGGCCATGTAATAAATTTCGATTTGTATAATTATTAAAAAATAATATAAATATTAAATAACCAACTAAAGTAGTAATTATTACTAAAATTATAAGTGTATGATCATGGAAGAATGTAAGTTGTTCTATAAGGGGAGAGGCACTATTTTGAAGGCCAAGAGCAGCTCATGTTGTCATTTATTTATAAATATTCTAATAAAAGTAAAATACTTTATATATGAAGCTTAAATCCATTGCACTAATCTGCCATAATAGAAATTTGTTAAAATAGGCAATTCAGAATATCTATGTTCTGCTGGGGGTGTATTTTGTAATCATTCAATTGAAGAATTTAATTGTATTGGATAAATTACTTATCGTTGTGAAATTAAACTTTCTCAAATAATAAATAAGAAAAATAAAATTCCTAGTAGTGAAATAGAAGACCCAATAGTTGAAATTACATTTCATGTAGTGTAAGCATCTGGATAGTCTGAATATCGTCGAGGTATTCCTGCTAATCCTAAGAAATGTTGAGGGGAAAAAGGTTACATTTACACCAATAAATATAATTAAAAATTGAGTTTTTAATCATTTTAAATTTAAAATTAATCCTGTAAATAAAGGATATCAATGAACAAACCCCGCTATAATAGCAAACACGGCTCCTATTGATAATACATAATGAAAATGTGCAACTACATAATAAGTGTCGTGAAGGATGAATTAGCTAAAACAACTCCTGTTAAACCTCCAACTGTAAATAGAAAAACAAATCCTAAAGTTCATAATATACCCGGACAATAATTTAATTGAGTCCCATGCAGTGTAGCTAGTCAGCTAAAAATTTTAATTCCTGTGGGTACAGCAATAATTATAGTTGCTGAAGTAAAATAGGCTCGTGTATTAACATCTATCCCTACTGTGAATATATGGTGTGCTCACACAATAAAACCAAGAAGGCCAATTGCTATTATTGCATAAATTATTCCTAATGAGCCAAAAGTTTCCTTTTTTCCGGATTCTTGACTAATAATGTGAGAAATTATTCCGAATCCAGGAAAAATTAAAATATAAACTTCTGGGTGACCAAAAAATCAAAATAAGTGTTGATATAAGATTGGGTCTCCCCCACCGGCTGGGTCAAAGAATGAAGTATTTAAATTTCGATCTGTTAAAAGTATTGTAATAGCTCCTGCTAATACTGGTAAAGATAGTAGTAATAATAATGCAGTTAATACAACTGCTCATACAAATAAAGGTATTCGATCAAATGTAATTACAACTGATCGTATATTAATTACTGTTGTAATAAAATTAACTGCCCCTAGAATAGAAGAAATTCCTGCTTAGTGTAGGGAAAAAATAGCTAAGTCAACAGATGCCCCTCCATGAGCAATAACAGATGAAAGAGGAGGATAAACTGTTCAACCTGTTCCAGCTCCATTTTCTACTATACTACTAACTAGTAGTAGTGTAAGAGAAGGGGGTAGTAATCAAAAACTTATATTGTTTATTCGAGGAAATGCTATATCTGGTGCTCCTAATATTAAAGGTACTAATCAATTTCCAAATCCACCAATTATAATAGGTATTACTATAAAAAAAATTATAACAAAAGCATGTGCTGTTACAATTACATTATAAATTTGATCATCACCAATTAAAGCTCCTGGATGTCCTAATTCGGCTCGAATTAGAATTCTAAGAGAGGTTCCTACTATTCCGGCTCAAGCTCCAAAGATAAAATATAAAGTTCCAATATCTTTATGATTTGTTGAAAATAGTCATTGTCGCGATTAAATGGCTGAATTTAGGCGATAGACTGTAAATCTATTTATAATAATTAATTCTTTTTAATCAATTAGGCTTTATAGTAATAATAATGATATTAGACTGCAATTCTAAAGGAGTAAAATAATTACTAAGGCTTAAAAGATTTAACTTATATTTATAACTTTGAAGGTTATTAGTTTTTTTAACTTAAAACCTTTTTATAAATATTTAGACAGTTAAATTTATTTGTAATTAAAAAATAAAATAAACTAAAGAAATTAAAATTAATCTAAACGTTGAAATAAAAGAAAAAAATAATATACATTTAAATGAAAAATTATTTATTTGTATACTATTAATTCAATTATTTTCAGAATAATTTAATATAAATGCAGCAAAACATAAACGTAAGTAAAAAAATAATGTAATTAAAGTTATTACAGTTATAATTGTTATTAAAATATATTGATTATTGACAATTAATAATTGAATGACTAATCATTTTGGTAAAAATCCAATAAATGGTGGAAGACCACCTAAAGATAATAAATTAAAGAATAAACATAATTTTAAAATTTTTGAATTAAAAAATGAATTAAAAACTTGATTAATATGGTATATTTTAAAATTATTTAATATAAAAATTAATCTAAAAGATAGAAATGATTATATAGAAAAATAAATTAATCAAGTTGATTCTCTAGCTTGTATAGCAGTTAATATTCAACCTAAATGATTAATTGAAGAGAAAGCTATTAATTTACGAAGAGAAGTTTGGTTTAATCCTCCCATTGAACCTATTACTGTTGAAAGAATAATTACTAAATAAATAAAATTTCTTCAATTAGTATAAGAAATTAATACAAGAGGAGCAATTTTTTGTCATGTTATTAAAATTAGAGCATTTATTCATGATAAGCCTTCTATTACATTTGGAAATCAAAAATGGAATGGTGCTGCTCCATTTTTTAATAATAAAGATGAATAAATAATTAAATTACTAGATATTAGATTATTTTGAATTGTTGGGAAATTATTTATATATATTAGAATAATAGCAAACAATAATACAGCAGAGGCAATTGCTTGTGTTAAAAAATACTTAAGAGAGGCTTCTGTTGATAGTAAATTATTATCTCTTATTAGGGGGATAAAAGATAATAAATTAATATCTAAACCTATTCAAGCACTTCAACATTAGACTGTTTACCGTCATCTTCGTCAAATATAATACGAAGAAGAAGACGCATAAGAAATCCAGCTGGCGGATTACGCGGCCGTGGTCAAGGTAACAGCCGGCATTCATTATCTAGCCGACAGATAGCTATCAACAAAATTTAGCTGACATTCGAGACACTTGGGTTAATGACACACTGGTAACAGAAATTGATAATTTAATGCAACCTTCTTACGTCCAGAGAAATACTGAAGAATGGGAGTGGTACCGGTTCTATGACCAATACATAGATGACAATATTCTTACAGATAAGGTAAACTGTACTAATAGAACACATATTTTGGAAACAGGAAAATCTATGGGGCTCACTTTAAGAGAGCTGAAAGTCTATATTGGTATTACTATGGTCATGTCAGCATTGCAGTACCCGCAAATATCTATGTATTGGTCTGACAAATGGAAAGTTGCTATAATAGCCAAGGCTATGACTCGTAACAGATTTTTTTTCATCCGGCTGAGGCTGAAGTGCGTTTATGACCCTGAAGTA